AAAAAAACAAAATGCTTCAGATGATCTCTTTCGTGGATCCCGGCATGGTAGGGACGCTTGCATGTGGGAACATAGGGCAGAGGTCACGCAAGCTTGCTGATCGCTTTAAGGGGGCCTGTGATGGACAACACTTTCTAATACCGTTCAATGACGTGTAAGTATGTTTAAGTTGTTCATGTCAAGAACTGATGTTCTGAATTGTTTCTTCCTTGTGAACTTAGTCTTCAATTTGCATTTGTAATGCTTTGTTAATACACTTATGTAAATGCGAATTTCTTTAAGTTCGTGAGAATGTTGTAATTCATATATGTTTTTATTTGTAGAAATCATTGGGCTTTGACTGTTGTCAAACCTAATGAAGAGGTAGTGTACTACATGGACCCCCTTAAACGGCGTATAGATAGTCAGGAGTGGACTCAAGTGGTTGATAAGTAAGTAGTGACTCAATGAACAAAAATCTTTGGTATTTGCTATCACTCTTGATTTTAACATTTCTCTATTTATCTTTTTTGGTTTCCTTATAGTGCTATAGTTTTGTACAAGAGTACCATGAACACACCTATGTTGAAGAAGAAAGTGTCTTGGGAGAACATGGCGGTATTATATGATTCTTATTATTTGGAATGTATTGCAGGTTGAATGAGAACTGTTGTATAACGTACTTTATATTTTTGTTTTTTAGGGCATCCCGATGCAAAAAGGGAGTGTAGACTGTGGCTTGTTTGTAATGCGATACATGAAAGAGATCTGTCAGGATAAGGAGGTTCAATTTGCTTCAAAGGTAATATTCTTGTCTTAAATGTAGTTTTTCTTGTTTCGGATGGTTCACACTTATTGTGCCTTTCTCTTATTCTGGGGATATTTACTGTATTACATGTTATCATACCATTACTGAATTGCAAAGTTTGAATTGCATGTCGCTTTTATGTGTTCTCTATTAAGTGCTTCTTTGCATCCGTGTATCATTTAGGAGTGTGTTTTTTTAGTTTGAATTTCTGGATAAATGCAATTTCTGATACATGCTCTTTACACAGATTTAATTTGAAGCTAATTTAAGATAGCGCTGTACAGAGTTTTTTTTATTTTGTGTACAGTTTTGGTGTTTTTAATCAGGAGAGACTTTAACATTAAGTAGAGCCTCTTATAGTTCACTAATAATGTATACTACTCAATGCAAGTGAAGGTTTGAGTATTAATTATTGGCCAGTTCTTTAGTGTTAGTCATCACGGATAATGCCTTCATACAAATCAGTTCTTATGTGTTGCATCCTATATTTACTTCATCACTTCTATGATTGGCTTATTAGATATTTGGTTTTTTCCTACGATTTTCAGTGGGCACGTCGGGGAAATCTGGAATACACCGAGGATGACATCAATCAAACAAAGGCTGAATTTGCGAAGTATTTTATGAGTCATAATGCCATTTGAATGGTTCTACCCCTGGACTTTGGTTGTATGTTTTATTGTGTTAGATTGTTGAATCATGTATTGGGAATTTATATTTCTTTTCTTGATCAGTCTTTCTTGATCAGTCGTTCTGTTGTATGAATTATTTAACGACCATTGTATTAGAATGCAAAAAACATGGTTATCCACCAAATTCAGTACTCCAAATGGTTGAGGCACAACACCAAATGTCAATAGTTTGAATATCTGCAACACAACGCCATAAAACAGAAGCATCTGATTATGATAGGCAACACAAATAAACGCTTGACTGACAAGCAGCCTTACTACTGTTAATTTGATATTACAAAAATTTTACGGACAACTATATAAACTAGTAGAGNATTCAACTACTGTTTGGAAGTATAGTGTCAATGTTTAAAGGACAACGAACATAAACTGGAGTGTTAATAGACGGCATACAACCAAAAAAAAGTTGTTTAAGGTAAGACCAAAGAAATAGTCTCAACGTTGTACATACAACAGAAGGTAGCAGAGGTTTGATGGAATTACTTATAGTAGTCTTCCGAGCAGCTGTCTAATAGAACATTAGACTACACCTGGAAAACATAGTGTAACTGCATCAATCCCAACTACAATAAACCATTGTCGTAATAGTCTATATACAACTAATTAAGACAGTTGTTTTTAAGTAGTTGTCTGAACTTCTATATACAACACAATAAAACTGTTGTCTGAGTATATCCAAAATCGTAGACTCAATCGCGAGCAGACAACAAATGTTCAAAGTTGTGTTAAGCTTCAAAACACTGTTGTCAGATTTTGATTTGCACAATTGTTCTAAACCGAGGTCTAACATCCCATCAGACATCTTCTCGGAAGACTACTGAAAACATCAATTATAGACTACTAAAATAAACAGTTGTCAGCCTCTGTTTTTGACGTAGTGCATGTCACGTAATGTAACCAACTTTAGTTTTTCTTTCATGATTGACATTTTATTTTCATTGGAAGTTCTATTTTTGGAATAAAGACATAGTACTTTTTTTCATATTTTTTATGTTTTATTCCTATTTTAGTCTGTTTCTCTAAATTATTTTGACTTTCCAATTTTTTTGAAAAATTTAGAAATATGAGAAAATTTTGAGTAATAAAGGAAAGGTGATAGGTCTTTTGTAAAGTTAGATTAATAAAATATTCTATGTAACTATTGTATCCATAATTTTTTAATATAGTTTAAAATATTTATGTCTTCTTGTTTTATCATGTAGATTAATATACAAAAAAATTGTCTTATTCATATTAAAAAGTTGAAGAAAAAATAATGAGTGTGAATCGTAAAAATCGTGAGGTGAAAATAATAATTTATAAACTATAGTTATGAACATAACAGTTATAATAATAATAATAATAATAATAGTAATAATAATAATAATAATAATAATAATAATAATACTCCCTCCATCCGGAAATAATCTTCCCATTTCTCCTTTTTCTCCGTCCGGAAATAATCTTCCCATTTTAATTTTTTATACACTAACTACCAAAAATAACCTCACTTATTATTTTCACATTATCTCTCCCCTCCCCCCTTTCTCTCTACTCCTGTGTTTCCTCACCACAAACTCTTATCTCACCACAAACTCTTATCTCTCTCCTTCATCCCCTTTTTCTAATTCCATCCGTTCTCCTTCTCTCCTTCCTACTCTTTATCTTCTTTTTTCTTCATCCCCTCCCCCCCTCCCCCCATTCTCTCCAGATCTCTTCATATCTCTTTTTATTTTTCTTCTTCTTTTTCTTCTTCTTCTTTTTCTTTTTCTTCTTCTTCTTCTCATCCCGAAATTCTTCTTTTCTCTCTCTCCCAGATCTAGTGTAGATCTGTACTAGATCTTCTTCCCTTCGTTTTTTTCTTCTCCTTTTCTCTTTCTCCCGGAGGAGGTGGCGGCTAGGGATGATAGTGCGACTGATGGTAGGTGGTTACGTTGGGGCTGAGGGGCGATTGTGGTGGGGATGGGTCAATTGTGGTAGAGGTGACAATGGTGGTTGGGACGGTCAATTCCGGCGGAGCTGACGGCGACGATGGAGCCGGGGATGATGGCGGTGGTGGGTGCTAGCCCTGGCAGAGATCAGCAGAGGGGAGGGCAGGGTTAGTGTTGTAAAACAGGAAAGAAATAAAGGGTATATTGGACATTTTACTTCCAAAGTCAACACTCCAAAAAAATGAGAAAAAGTCCAAATGGGAAGATTAATCCCGGACGGAGGGATTAATAATAATAATAATAATAATAATAATAATAATAATAATAATAATAATAATAATAATAAACTAGAAGGAACTGAAATAAAAATTTAAGCTCTAAAAAAGAGCTCTAAGTGTGTTAAAAAGGGTCTAATCAGTAAGGGCTAATTTTAACTTTTTTATTCAACTTGTTTTGGTTTCTTCTAATTCTTTTAATTGTTTCTAATTGCTCCCAATTTTTTCTAATGACTTAAAGAAATATTTACATATGATAAATATATAATAACCTTTGGGGCATTTGTAATGGGGGATCTTCTGCCACGCCGCACGCCCATTGCAGGACAACTGGACAAGAGGCGCATTTTCAGCCTCGGCACACGCTCTAAGTGCGGCGCTTAGCCGGGCTAAAATCCCGACATAAAATTGTGGGGGCCGACCACAGCATCAGTCCACCAGACTGATACGGAGAACCCCCATACGGCCCAAGAAGTCCATGCAGCCCATGCTCGGCCAGTGGCGTTGGGCCGTCCGCGTAGAAAGGTCAGGCCACCCCAACGTTACCAAGATTATGTTTAAACATCTCTTTTTAATAATTATTGTAATTTAGATTTTTTTTCCAAAACCCTTCACCACCGCCGGTCCTCTTGTTCGGCCGTACGTATGGCTAAGGAGAAGGAAACCCCTTTTAGGGCTAGAGAGAGAGAGACGAGAGAAGAGATTGGGGTGGAAGAGGTTTTTTATTAATTCTTGTGTGAGACGGGTTTAACCTATCGTATTTATAATAACACATCCCCAAACCCTAATTACTATATTATCTAACCTGTCGGTTCAAGAAAGGCGTCGAGGTAAAGAACCGAAAAGAAACCCTCAAAGGAGCTTATAATTCGCTCACCTAAAAAAATCTAAATTACAATAATTATTGAAAAGAGATGTTTAAACATAATCTTGGTAACGTCGGGGTGGCCCGACCTTTCTACGCGGACGGCCCAATGCTACTGGCCGAGCATGGGCTGCATGGGCTTCTTGGGCCGCATGGGGGTTCTCCGTATTATAAATTCAACACATCTTCCACTTCAATCCATCTACTCTCATGTCTCTCAATTTACCTCTTTTTTAAATTTCTTTTCATATTTCTCAAATTACAAAAAAAAGGCTTTTCCTCTAGTAGATGATGAGGTCGTGGAAATGCTAATTGAAGCGTACCATGAGTATTTCCCATTCATCCAAGCAGAGATGCAACGTGAAATCGCTTGATGTTTTTCGTTTGTTTTTTAAATTTTAATTATATTTCGGTGTATTTCATCTTTTATTTCGATGTTGTTTAAAATAAAGAGTGTGAATCTTATTATTGTTATTTCAATTATGTGTATTATAAAAATTGGAAAAATGATGAATAATGTTAAAAATGGAAAGGTATGTTTTCAGGGCGATAAGATTAAAAGATTTTATGGTGGGACTGAAAGTTAGTGGAATACTGATGCGACAGGAGTTGAGGGGCAGAAATACCCCATTATAAATGATCTTATATACCCATTTTATAACATTTCACCTCAAACTCAGGTTAAGATGAATTCTTTTTTATGTGAAATTAGTTTTCTTACATGTTTATTTAAGTTATCATTTAATTGAGTGATCTTTAACACTATTGTTTTCAAACATTTTCTAATTTCTATTAGATTTTTGCAATTTTTTCTAGTTTCTTCCAACATCCTACTTTAGAATTTCAACTGAAAAGAATAGGCCATGAGAATATGTGGTGTGGGAGCCTTGCCTTGAACTCCACTTTGAGTTTCGCGAGTTAACAAAGAATTTCAAGCAAAGTTTCTAATGACATTTTTAAATAAAAATTACAACAATAAACAAAAAAACAAAAATAGTGATGAAGATGACACACATTTTTAACTCTCTTAGAATTTTACTCTTTACTCCTCTTTTTTCTTTCTTTTTTGTTTCACAATTTTTTATTGTTAGAGAATAATAATAATAATAATAATAATAATAATAATAATAATAATAATAATAATAATAATAATAATAATAATAATAATAATAGTAATAATAATAATAACTGTATTAGTTATAACATTATTTGCTTAATCCAAAAAAAGAATTGATGGATACCCTGGAATGGGGGTATCCGGCCCAACAGAAAAGCGGCCCAACCCAAGCATGCCTAGGCCCACCTAGCTGGGTGAAGACAAGAGGAAACTGAAGTCTCGAGAAGGCCGCTACTGCATCAAGTCACACTCGGCCCCGACAAACTTATTCGGCCTCGGACCACCCTCGGCCGGCCTTTTGTCAGGAGACTTCAAGAAGCAGATCACGCATACTCGGCCTCGGCCTGGGGTGCAGCGAATCAGGACCATAGGCAAGGGAGCTGCCTAATCGGTAAAATCAAGGGGCCCACGATTGGACCCCTGCCACACCTCCGTCAGAGATGTTTTACCCACCCTATTTGTAACCTATTTTGTGTAGCCGCCCTAGGAATAATGATGTGGTTAGGTACCGCCAGTAAACAACCAAATCTTAGTGGGCCCGATCCGTTGGGCTCTCGACCAACGGTCGGGAACCCCATCTCTAGTTTGTATATAAATCCTTTCTTGAGAGAAAGGGAGGAGCAGGTTTTTCGAACACACTAATACTTACAATCTTACTTGATTCCCAACTTGTGCACCCTCGACTCAGTTCGATACTCTTTCGCCTAGTCTTCTAGGCCACGGGTTCCTTAACCAAACATGAACGTTTTAATCTAATCGCAAATGCACTCTGTGGTTTAGAGTAATTCAATTTGGGTAAGGGAACACCGTCTGGTACTTTCATGTATATCTCTAAATCAAGATCCCCGTAAAGATAATCAGTAACCACATCCATAAGTTGCACTTTCAGTTCTTCAGAAACTGCTAAGCTCATTAAGTACCAAAATGTTATAACGTTCATTACAGGAGAGTATGTCTCATCATAGTCAACTCCAATGTGTTGTGAGAAACCTTGTGCCACAAGGCAAGCCTTATATCTTAAGACCTTATTCTTCTTGTTACGCTTTCTGACAAATACCCATTTATTTCATACAAGCTTTACACTTTGAGGGGTTAGCACTACCAAACCAAATACCTGTCGCTTTTCTAGAGAATCAAGTTCTACCTAGATTGCTTCTTTCCATTTAGGCTGGTTTGCTCTTTGTTGACATTATACAAAAGAGCATGTAATAAACATATGATCAAAAACTGTATCTTTTCTAACTACAATTCTTTACTCTAATATGATCAAATAATGTATCTTTTATAACCACAATTCTTTACTCTAATAGGTACTTATGATCAAACAATGTATCTTATATATATATATATATATATATATATATATATATATATATATATATATATATATATATATTGTGTGTGTGTGTGTATGTATGTATGTATGTATGTATAAAACAGTTTTTCTTTCTTAATTTATCTTAGATCCAATTAATTTTTTAGGGGACAAGTTGAGTGGTCGTCATTTGAGTGGCTGCATATGGACTTATTTCATGCTTTAATTGAACTTGCCTCTGTACTACCACAAAAGGAAGATATTTTGTGTTCTTGTGCTGCATATTTTATGTATAGATGCATTTCTGCCTTTTTAATTCCAAGCATATTCCCAAAAATCCTTATTTTCCACATCAAGTCTACCAGAACTAAACATACCCAATATGTCGCAGTGTCGCACGAACATTTTTTGTAAGAACTAAGAAGATTCCGAGAATGATTTGATTAAAAAAAATTAAAGAACATATGCTTTCATACCTTCTTGGTTAGATGCTTCAATCTTGGACAGTTGGATTGCTTCATTTCGTCACTGTGAAGAACTTGGACTGCTTCACTACGATTAAAGAACTTGGATTGCTTCAATCTTGGACTGCTTCACTCAGTTCACTACATCAATGGTGGAAGAGCGCAGAAGCGAAGAAGACCCCCCCTGAAGAATCTGCAATTCAGAACTCGGAACTCAGAAGTGTTGGACGGCGAATCAACGATTGGGGATTTGTCGATTTGAGGAATCTGACTATTGAGTATTGTCGGTTTTTAGCAGTTCGGTTCGGTTTTGAATAGCCAAACTGCAACTGAAACCGAACTCAATCGGTTCGGTTCAGTTTTTTGAGGTCGGTTTCGGTTTTTGCGGTGCGGTTTTTTAGGTATTGTTTGATTTCGGTTCGGTTTTCAGTTTTTGGTTTTCCGGACCCAGCCCTAGATATCATCATGATCTATAATTTCTAGAGTAATATTATAAACAAATATATCATCAATGTATATTGAAAATCAGTTTATTAGCACATGTGCATTTCCATAATCCATTGAGATTTGTTTGTTCTCTCGAATCATATCAATCATCGTAGCGTTCTCCAGTAATGATTCATGGACATATCTATAATCAGAGATAATTTCATGTGATGGATTTTCCACATCGATGATTAACGGATTTGTTTGTGTCGTGCATGCCCTTTTCCTTCTTAGACGAGTGTCTATTGAACCAAGCGATGGTCTTCCTCTCTTCCTTTGGGGAGCCATGGCCTCACCCGCACTTCCCCTAAGTTTGGGTGCAATGCCTGTCGTTATGGCATTGTGTTCTTTGTTTGGGACTTCTAGCCTTGCATGTACATTTGCCGCAGGTATATGTGATCATGTTACTTTTGCAATATCATTAAATGAATCAGGCATTGAATCTGTCACGTTTGAAGATCGATTATTCTTATCATTTTGTTTTCACACTGTGAAGTACAATGATCAAAATGAGACAAAGCAGGAACAAACCAAGATAATTCATGTCGTTCTTTTAGAAAAATGTTTTTTATATCTCGTTAACGACGAGAATGTTGTGTCATCAAAATGACAATATGCAAATCTAGTAGTAAAATGATGACTAGTCAATGGTTTTAAATTACATTTAATTTTGGGTGATTCATATCCAATGTAAATACTTAATCGTCTTTGAGGACCCATTTTAGTGCACTGTGGAGGCGCAATCGGCACATACACTGCACAACCAAAGATTCGTAAGTGTAAAATACCAGGCTTGTAACTAGTCACCAAGTGGTATGCAGAAAACAATTGTGCGGCGGTGGGTCTAAAGCGAATAAGTAATGATGCAAGCAAAATGGCATGACCCCATTGACGGTTTAGTTTTTCGGTAAGTCAACCTTCCCAATGAAGGGTTAGTTTTATCCGAGTGTCGTGTCTCTCGAGGAGTGGACGAAGGGAATTAGCTAATTTTTCTAACTAGGCGAAGGTTTGGACAAATCTAGAAGTCTTCTCGATTCGATTTGAAAATAAAAATAAACTAAATTATTTGGTTCTTTTTGAGAAAAAAAATAAATAGTCCGGGTATAGGACTAGACTTTAGGCCAAGGCATCATTTGAGTTAACTACTGCTGTCACATATTTAATCAATAATTGGAATAAATATATTTTTGTCACAAATATTTCATTAACTTAAACTCTCTCAAGGTATCATTAATGTGTTCTAAAGAGTTTTGCTTAATTAATTTTATATCCACATAGACAAGGTAAAAACTAATTTCCAATTATTAATTAATTTTTCTCTCGACATAATTAATTAATTTAAAAGTAAAAATAATTCTAGAACAATTATTCCAACTATTAAATAAACATACAGAGTATATGCCCAAATTTAGCCACGGCCCTAATCTGGGCCCTAACCCATACTAAATATCAATAGTGCATGAAATAAAAGAACATTTTATTAAAAGTTGTAAAAATAAACTTACAACCGAGAGCAGGGCCGAGGCCACCTTGGGACAACCGGAACAAACTAAACTAAAATATTAAAATAAAACTGAGAAGGGAGCTAGAAATTGGGTTCCGGGCCTTACAGACCCGGATTGGAGCTTGGTTATTTGAAAGAAGGCAAAAGCCTCCTTTTATAGAAGAAATTGGAGGAGGTGGCTAGTGGCTTGAGATAATGGAAGTGGCTGCCATTTGTTTCTTTCCTCTTGCGTCATCTTTATCTCTTCTTTCTTTTTCTTTTTTTTTCCTTTCTTTTTTAGTTGATATTTTGATGATGATGGTGTTGAAACACGGACTTGTCACGTTTTCATACTAAAGCCGTGTTTGTTTTTATGACAGGTTTTGATAATGCCAAACCGCCGTGATCAAGTCAAAACATTGAATATACAAGGCGAAGAATGAATACAAGAACAACAGCTAAACGAAGACCAAGAACGAAGACCTTAATCTTAGCATCGTTGAGTCGGTCTTTATTGTGATCAAGACCGACCCAATCTTTACACCTTGGCTCTTTAGGCTAAAATCTTTCATTGCATTTCTTACATCATAAAAATGTTTTTCAAACTTGTTTAAGTCATTAAAAACACTTGGTGTTCGTCCAAACCAAAAACCAAGCCATCCAGCGTTCGGGTTTCAGAAACCGGCGTTTGGCTTTCGGTTATCGGCATTGGATTTTGGCGTCCGAACCAACCGAGTGGTTTTCAACGTTTTATGATTGATTTTCACTCTTTGGCATGTTTAAACGGTTCTCCAACAAAAACACTTTGAAAACCATCTTTTGCTTTTGGTCGTTTGACAAAAACCACGCAAAATGGCGTAAACTTGGCTAGCCGTGGTTTTTACTCAAATGACGTGGTTTTCAAAGTAACTCACTTGATTTCTTAGCCAAATACATCAAATAAGTGTTTTAAACACTTGGTTTTTATTTTGGAGAACTTTGGATTTTTCGGTCGGTTTTTTCTGCATCGGTTGGCTAGGCCGTGGTTAAGGCAAAAACCATGGGTTTTTGACTAACCACCCACCCAGCAATGGGAAGATCTTCCCATCGATGGGCAAGCAGTCCCTCAGCCAAACCAACTTCCAGAACCATGCCAAACAGCGATGGGAAGTTCTACCCATCGCTGTTAAAGCCTTGGTGCAACATTACCACAAGGCAGAACAACCTTGCCCAGCGATGGTGAGGCTAAACCATCGATGGGAAGGGATGACCATTGTAGGTCATTTAAGGTTGATTCTTTCTTTGTTTGGAAGTCAACCTCCCACCCAGCAATGGGAAGCTTGTACCCATCGATGGGTAGGTAAACGTTGGCTTCAAAACTGAAGGAAAATTGGCTTACCAGCGATGGGTAAGTGCCAAACATCGATGGGAAGCCAATATTCTGCAGATCGCAAATCTTTTCAATCCCATTAATCAAGCTAA